CCCGGAGCCCCTGGAGCCCCCGGAGCCCCCGGAGCCCCCGAGTCCGACAGCGTGGGGAGCAGCCCGCCCGCACACCTTCGACAAAGGCCGCTCTCTTTCCAACAGACAATGCTGCACATCATGAGCCAGACTTCCCTCCAGCTCGGCACCCTCGTGAGCCTCAAAATAAAGGATCAGCATACTCTAAAAATTCAGTACTTGATCTGTGTGCTGCGTGCTGCAAGCATTTGTCTGGCTGTAGGAAAATCAGGCCTTTGACATTTACAAGAATAAGTTTAATTGTTGAAAAATGTTTGGAGGAAAAATGCTGTGCTTACGTGAGTGCTGACATGTGCCGTTCTTCCGATGAATGCGGCACGCTGTCTGGATTTAGAGCAGCAGCTTTGTGCATGGGACATCCATTATTTCATGATGAGCTGTAGTAACCAGCCCCAGATTCTTGTATCCTAAAACCAGGAGATCTGGGGTGAAGCCACTTGAGTTTGTTTTTATTAGCAGCCACTCAACCCAATGTGTCGGTGTCCTAATTTCTCTGAAAGGCAGGCGGCACAAAGGAAGCACTGAGGAGCTGCGCTCCCATGGGCTGCCAGTAAGTGCACGCAGCCGTCTGACATCGGACTTCTCAGGAAGGCAAGTCCTGCTAACGGTGAGAGCACTGAGCTCCTGTCCGCACAGCAGCTTGTCGGAAGGCTGTCACCTTCGCTTTGGCACGCTCGTTTTCAAAACAAAAAGATGTAGTTTGGAGGGGGTTTGGTTTTTTCAGATTTAATTCTTAAGAATCAATCTAATTCCCTGCGTCGGTACAAAAACTGCTCTCAGTAGAAATCAGACCAACTCCTGGCCTGGCCAGGTAGAAGCGTATTTGACAGAGCGAGCAAGCGAGGAAGCACGCACACATCCACAGGAGACTGCGAGCAATGGCCGGTAAACATTCTGCTCAGTGCCTCGCCCTGAGCCAGCCCCAGCGGCAGCGATTCGCTGTTCAGGTTCGAAATGACACGGGCAGACGCGCTTTAGGCTCATCTTGGCAGGTCAAGCTTTCCCTGAACAAAATTTGATTTCCATTTCCTCCTAACTAGCAGGTAGCAACACACCACTCTCACACGCAGTTCGACCTCTTCTCCCAAGGTGCCGAAAGGGCCTCTCTGCACTCCTGAAACAGGCCCTCCGTAGCTGCCGGAGACTCGGTGCTCAGCGCCGAGAGAACAATCAAACACCTATAACCAGTAGAGACCTGATCTATCTTTACCTCCTTTCATCCCTTCACACCGCAGAACCACGCAGCACTAAATCCCGACAGAGCACGACTGCTTTTTACTCAGCTATCCTGCTTGAAAATACCCGCTGCTGGTTGGACGTAAGATTTTGTGTCTCTTAAGATGAGTTTATCTCTTGTTCTCCAACAGAAAAGACTAATAAATCTTTGCATTTTTAGCCTTAGCAACTGAAAATCCAATTGCACAGGAAAGTTGATCACAGCTTTCCAAAGGCAGGTTTCTCCAAGGTAGAAAGTAGTAATAATGTCGCTCACCATCACAGAAGTAATTACATTATCAAGAAAGTATCTCACACGAACTTTGATAGGTGCTGGGTCTTCAGAAGCAAAACACTGAATTAGAAAAGATTTCTTTTGTATTTTTTTTTTAATTGATAGACACAAGAAAACAGTGAATTTTCCTCATTTAAACTCCCAGCGTGGAGCCCATCAGGAAGCTCTGGTTTTACATACTCGTGATATATTTTTCTTTAATTTCATGGTTATTAATACTGAAACAGAGCAGGACATTAGTGAACGGGTAACCCAGCGGGGATCAGCAAGGCTTCCTGCAACAAACAGCGTTGTTCACTAGCAGTAGAGCAGCTGAACATCGCGCTCGGTTTGATAGCTGCCGTTACGATGCACCCACAAAACTTCCTTCTGTCTAGAGTTTAATCCTTTCAGTGTGTTAGCGTCACCTCTTTTGGATAACCCCAGACGGAGTACCACTGCGGTCACCGATGCGCCTGGGATTACTGACCGTGATAAAATATTCATATGAATCAACTGGGACACAAAACTGTAACTTGATGTTTTTGCAAATTTGCCGTGCAACTCCCACAGCTGGTCTGTGTTAGGAATTGCTGAAGAACGACATCTCCGTAATTACAATAAGACACAAACTCTAAAAATCCCGTCCCTCCCAGGAAAACACAAAGCAGAATAAAATCCCCCCAAAGCCAAGAGCAAAACTGCCGCGATCCCCCAAAGCGTTTAACTTCTTCAGAACAAAGGTCTCCACAAATAAGAGAGGCTCCTACATACGACCGGTTATTTCTCCTTGCACCACGCCATACAATTCAGGTTTCTGCACACTGAAAATTACATGATGACATTTTTATGGCGGGCAATCTACAGAATAATGTAACTATTAAGCAACCCAATTTTCTGTATGCAAAATAATAATTAATGCAGCTCTGAGACAGACTGTAGGTTGATTTAACGTAGAAACATTCTCTGTTGACCAAAAATCTACGTTTCCATCGTCTGCAGGAACAAGTGGTTACGCTGTCGCAGAGGACTGCACAAATATACCCCATTCCTCCAGGGGCTTCCCTGTGGCCCTGCCTGGCAATAGGATCCTTGCTGCGTGGGTCTGCCTTTGCCACAGTAATGCAGCACAAGAGTACTATTGATAAAAGTATTTGTTACTCAGGCACATTAACATTATTACTGCCTATTTCTTCCTAGCATTTGAACATCAAAAGCCCATCATGGATTTTGCTTTTCTGTTTAAGCACCAAATTACGAGATAATCAGGAGTTTTTCCTCCCAGTGAGCCTTCGTCTGCCTTCACGGTGTCCGTCAGCCATCCGCACGCTCGCTGCCACACCTCTGGTCTCCCTAAAACTGCATCCTCACCCTTTGTGGCAAGGTTTACTCCAGCTCCCTGCAGCAGTGCGAGGACTTCCACGAGGGCGCAAAGGGCTCCATTTCACATGAAGCAAACCTGGAGAATTTCTCACTTGTGCTCTGCGGCCTCACAGGCAAACCACACCGAATTCCACACTGGGAAATTGTTTTGAGCTACAAATTGTTCTTTTTTTTCTCTTCACGTCTTCATGATTCACAAAATCCCTGCAATCGTCCCTTGTCAACTGACTCGCTCAGAGGCTGTTCTGTCCCTGTTACATCAGCAGGAGCTTTGCCCCGATTTCCCTTAGCAGCAGGATTGCTTTTTTGTATTCAACGAGAAACTCTACTCAGTATTCCTAAGCAACAGCAAACCAAACTGAACAGCTTGCAAAATGACAATTTGCCAATGTTTAGGATGCTTCCAAAGGACCTAGAAGCTTGCCAGCTTCCTACCTATTTCCATAATCCACAAGGAATGTTGTGTTTAAACAATTCCCTTCACTCTTCCCGTTTTGCAATGTTTGTTGCTTCTGCAGTACATTTAGAGTTCTATTTTTCTGTGGATAGATCTATCCTCCCCCAAAAGCCTGACACACAGAGCTTGTAACAAATACATATATAACTGATTAGGTTGCCCGTATGATCTGAACAGGCTTGAGTATTGCAGCCTTTCAGGCATGATAAAGCTACAAATGCTTAAGCTCTGAATCAGAGAGTTACACAGGCCCCCGTACTTGCTAGATTCCTGAGCCTATTACGATCAGCTCTCCCTTCAAACCCTGTAGTAGGAAGCGTTTTCCCCTTTTTTCTGTTTTTCTTCCCTCTCTTCCTGTGACCAGCACTGGATGCTTCTCTATTTGTCTCTGACGCTGTCTATTATTAACCCAGAAGCTTCTAACTGAATCGTTAACTATTTCACTCACTTTTCTTCCATGGCACAAGATGAGAGTTGCTCTGATACGGAAGACTGACTCCAGACAGGAAAACTGACAGCAGCATTTTCCTCTCTTTCTTGTTTAACATTGAAGGAAAACTCCAACGCTTAGCGCAGGGGCTGAACACCAAGGAAACCAAAGGTGTTACTGAAACCAGACAACGAGAAGATTCAAGACTCGCAGGCTGCAGAGAAGAGCATGGCAATCTGTACACGCACACCGGCAAAGGCAGACCCGAGTACTAACGAGCTCCAGGAGCTGTTTGTGTTTTCTCTACCGTCTCTGTCTGTCCTGGTCAGTGAGATTAACCCCGATGCTGGGGTTACTGTCTCTTGTTGTTATCAGATGCATGTCACAAATCTGAAATATTATCGCCCTCCACGTAGCAATACACATGCTGCCTCTCAGCAGAAAAGACGTTGGCAGACGGATTTACAATACTCCCTTCCAGAACCCAGTGCATTCTTGTTCCTTTTTTAGCCAAGCAGTAAAAGCAGATTATTTTGATACTTCTGGTTCACTGCAATGAGTGCTGAGGGCCATTCTCACCATTCTTGTTAAAATTCTTGTTAAATACAGCAACTCTACCAACCCTTCCCTTGGAACATGAATGAGGGAGGTACTCTGGACCCACCTCAATTCGGACCATCAGACAGTCAGGGGAGTTTGGGAGAGTAATGGGCCATGCAGTACGACAGAACCCTTAGCAAAGAAAACACTCACTAACAGGACATGGAGAAGTTGTGAAACAACTCCTTACCTGGTAGATCATGACTTTGAAGTTTCTGCGTTTGAGCAGCTCCGCTTCGTTGGCCTCCAGCTTCTTTATCTGCCCAGCTTGCTTTTCCAGGTTCTGCCGAACGGTTTTCACGTTGACGCTCACCTTGCGCACTTTTTCCAGCATCTTGTTCACAGTGTTGCTGGTGGTGGTGTGTGCCTTTGTCAGCTTGGTTAATTCTCCTTGGATGCTGGTCACTGCGCTGTCCATCTCTTGCTGTCTCTCCTCCAGCTGTGTTTGGGTCAGCTGGATCTGATCCACTGCTCCAATGATCTTGTCCAGCAGGGTCAGCACCATCACGCCATTGATCTGGTCTGATTTGATGGGTTCTTCAGGCACTTGCTCCTCAGAGGCTTCAGAGGCAGTTGGGGGTTCGATAATTTGCAAAGTAGTATCCTCCATGATCGCTCGGGAGTCCTGGCTAGCGGAGCCCGGAGAAGCTGTCACTACAGGGAGAGAGAGAGAGGAGGGAAAACTAAACCCGAGCCTCAGCTAAACTGCGCTGGGAGACACGCCAGAAATGGAGAGCACAGTGTGTGGATGTCTGTGCTGAAATTCAAATGGCACAGCTCTGCAAAGCCGTCCAGTGAAACTGCCCTGCAAAATTTTCCAGGCTCGCAGGTCATTGGCTGACTCCACCTCAGCTGTATAAAAGGAGCCCGCTGCCAAATGCCTGATGACCCACCCTTTCTGAAATGATTAAAATAGTTGGAGGGGAGGCGATGGCTTTGCATGCAAACACAGGCATGGCTCAGCGAGGAATGCAAAGCTCTGAAACTACAAATGCCTCTTCTTTACCATAAGTCTAAAGGCACTGTAAGTAATGAGAGGAAAAAACAAAAACCTTGAGCAGGCGGCTCGGGCAGCTGCCGGAAAGCAAGCAGCCCCATCTGGGCACAGCTGTATACATTAAAGGAAGGCTGGCTTAAACAACTGCACACATTACAGTTCAGCTGGAAAATTCAGATCTTTTGCTAATAGTTAGGGTTTTTTCCAGGACCATGAGAGCCTGATTTTCAATACTTTAAAGAAAAGCGACAGGTTGGATTGAGTAGTGTCGTGGTTTAACGGCACGTAGCTTCTGGATCATAAACATGCACGCTCCCACGTGTGTGAATGTACACAACGGGCGTACCCACGATACGTACAGTTTGCACCACAGCTCTACGCAGATGTAACGCAGAAAGAAGCAGCGTAATTCACTCATGAAGTGAAGCAACTGGCCACTCCCACCTAACAGAAGCTATCTCAGCTCTGTAATCCTCCAACCATGGACAAATCTAGTCGCTACACTTTTAAATGCGGGACGTGTTTCAGCACATGCCATGCAAAACTGTATCTGCAAGCGATGCTCAAAGACACTGTGTTACATAAGGCTTTATTGGTAAAAAAACACTAATTGTTTCAGAACTTCATAGAGTACGTATTGCTTTGGAAAGCATAGGGAAGAAATAATCCTTATTTTGCTAACTTTTAACCTTGGTATTGACACGCAGCAGTCCACAGACTCTGACAGGGTTCTGCAGCGGGTTACGCCTCGAGGAGCCATCGCCAGCTTCCTGCCTGAGCAGACCCTCGGGAGGTGCCACCAGCGCCCGTCCACAACAGCCCAGCAGCACCCAGCACGGGGTGTGACGCAGGACAATTCAGCTCCCGAGAGCGACGCTGGGTGACAGCCTCCTCGCTGTCGCCGGTGCCGGCTCAGCCACTGGGCGCCCGGGGCAGAGCTGCTGCGGAGCTGCTCGGGGCTGGGGCAGCGGAAGGCCCTTCGTGGCTGCGCC